CAGCTCAGAGCCTGGAGCCTGTTTCGGAGTCTGTGTCTCCCTCTCTCTCTGACCCTCCCCTGCTCACGCTGTCTCTCTCACTCTCTCTCTCTCTCCTAGAAAGAAATAAAAATATTAAAAAAAAATTTAAGAAAACAGTTTAAAATTTAAAAAAGAAAAAGAAAAAAACCCTGATTTTGAAATTCATGTTGGAGAAAAAATGATGGGGAATAACTAATGACCGTTTGGAAAAGAACCAGGAAGTCAGATTTGCCCTGAAGAATATCAAAGGATGTTATAACATTATTAAATCAGTTAGAGTCCAGTCAGGAGACCTGATCCACACAGTAATTTGAATCAGGGAAATTTAATATAAGGAATTATTTCCAGGGGATTGGAAGAATAGGGAATTTTCTAGTAGGTTCTTTCTACAAAGAACTCGAGAGAACAAAGGGATAGTAGATATAGAGAGTAGTCCCCACCCTGAGGGCTGAGATGGAGTGCCTGAGGAAGGCCACACACACACACCTAGGCTGCGGGCCACACCTCACTGGAAAGGGCAATGAGAAGTCACTGAAGTGTCTTTCCAGCAACACTGTGAAGCTGCCAGAGGCTATACCAGGGGCAGCTGCTGGCCACTGGCTGCTCACGAACTGGGAGCTGGGGAAGCTGACCTCAGCCAAAGCTGGCCCCTGGAAAAACCATTCTGCATGAGGAAGATACTCAAGGAAGCTGTGTCTGTGAAGAACCTCGTGTGGGAAAACCACCAGCCCAAGAGCAGAGCCCTAGCTGGGCAGAAGACATCCAGATGGCCAGCAGACGCATGAAAAGATGCTCAACATCACTCATCATCAGGGAAATGCAAATCAAAACCACAATGAGATACTTCCTCACATCTGCCAGAATGGCTAAAATAGCCGCTGACGCAGGGGAGCACCATTCTGGTGCTGCTGGAGAGTGAGCAGTTCCCGGTGGAGCTGACCAGACTCTTCCAGAAGTGCTGGGTATAGGGCAGCGTGTTCATCACCCCAAAGAAGTACGATGGTTGAATTAAACCCATCCCAAGGAAAGCTTCTATGGAGGGCTTTGAGCCCTCCGACAACATGTGTCCATTAAGAGCTACTGATGGGAAAACGATCAGCACTGTGAGAAGCTTGGAGGAAATGAATGGGTTTCAGATGGCTTACTCAGACCTACAGAGAGCTAACATGTATGGGCTGAAGAAGAAGCAGGCTCCAGGCTCTGAGCTGTCAGCACAGAGCCCGATGGGGGGCTTGAACTCATGAACCGTGAGATCAAGACCTGAGCTGAAGTCAGAAAGAGCAAGAGTAAGAGGAGCTAAGCAGCACAGGGAAAGGCACCAGATTTCCTGCTCTCACCAACTAACCACCAAGTTACTGTTTTTCTTCTGGTTTTTCCTTTTGGCCACAAAGCTAGGTTTCTGGTTCCCCTATGATAACTTGTCATGTGAGATTAGGGTCATTTTGGATGGAAGAAAGGTTGTAGTGTTTCCAGAGTAGCTGTAAGAAGCCCAGTCTATTTTAGAATTGGCTACTTGCTCTATGTGGCATGGCTGTATATCCTGGGATTATAAAGTCTCTGTAGCTGTCTGTGTGAAGGACAATGGATCATTAAACCTATATTTGTCTTCCAAAAAAAAAAAAATGGCTAAAATAAAAACTCAGGAAACAAGTGTTGTTGAAAATGTGGAGAAAAAGGAACTCTCATGCACTATTGGCGGGAATGCAAACTGGTGCGGTCACTGTGGAAGACAGAATTGAGTTTTGTTGAAAAATTCAAAATAGAACTACCCTATGATTCAGGAATGGCACTACTGAGTATTTACCCAAAGAATATGAAAACATTAATTTGAAGGGATATATGCACCCTATGTTTATTGCAAGTTTATATGGGGTAACCAAGTTATGGAAGCAGCTCAAGTGTCCATCGATAGATAAATGGATAAAGATGTGGTATATATCCACAATGGAATATTATTCAGCCACAAAAAAGAATGAAATCTTGTTCATTGCAACATGGATGGATCTAGACAGTATAATGCTAAGTGAAATAAGCCAGTCAACCATACTGTATGATGTCACTCATCTGTGGAATCTAAGAAACGAAATAAACGAACAAAGGAAAAAAGAGACAAATCAAGAAACCAGACTCTTATTGATGGAGAACAAACTGGTGGTTACCAGAAGGGAAGTGTGTGTTTGGGGGGGTGGGGATGGGTGAAATAGGTGAAGGGGATTAAGAGTACACTTCTCTTGGTGAGCACTGACTAGTGTATGGAGCCATTGAATCACTATCTTGTACATCTGAGACTAACTAATATAATGCTGTATATTAACTACACTGGTTTAAAAAAAAAAAAAAAAAAAGCTCAGCACTAGAGAAAAAGGCAGGGGAGACACACCAGAACCAGAGAACCCTTTCTGCCTTTAGTGACTCTTCAGCCCTCTATTGATAAGGACAGGACTTCCAGCAAGATGGGGTAATAAAACAATGGAGGGGGCGCCTGGGTGGCTTAGTCAGTTGAGCGTCCGACTTTCGCTTAGGTCATGATCTCGCGGTTCGTGGGTTCGAGCCCCGCGTCAGGCTCTGTGCTGACTGTGCTCAGAGCTTGGAGCCTGTTTCAGTCTGTGACTCCCTTTCTCTCTGACCCTCCCCTGCTCACGTTGTCTCTCTCTCTCTCTTAGAAATAAAAATATTTAAAAAAAAACAAACAATGGAATTGATAGTAGATAGCAATCAGATCTCGCAGCCATAGAGGGAAGGCCCACCAATGGACTGGAACCCTCAAGTAAGCTGCTCCTTGGTTTTACAACTCTAGGCTTCAAAGATGGTAGAAGAAATAGGTTACATTAAAAAAAGTTTTTTTTAATATTTATTTATTTTGGAGAGAAAGAGACAGAGTGTGAGCAGGAGAGGGCCAGAGAGAGGCAGACACAGAATCCGAAGCAGGCTCCAGGCTCTGAGTTGTCAGCACAGAGCCCGATGGGGGCCTTGAACTCATGAACTGCGAGATCATGACCTGAGCTGAAGTCAGATGCTTAACTGACTGAGCCACCCAGGTGCCCCTAAAGTTACATTTTAAAGTTACCTTTTGAAGTATTGGTCTTTCAGTGCAAAATGTTTCAGTATTTGATGACATTTGTTGAAATGCCACTGATCTCTTTTGCCTATGGAGATACAAGTGCAGGAATTTGCAAAAGACACCAGAGTTACAGTAAGAAAACAATGGGTGATTGGCTGGAGCAGCTTACAGGTGGAGATCATGCCAAGATGATTTTTTAGCTAAAGCAGATGAAAAACACCCCAACGCCCTTCAGATGAAATCAAGGTTGATGATTCACTGGGAGACGTTAGCATCTCTGTTCTAGATTTTACGTCAAAGACATCATATAGGTCTTTCTTGCTATTTCCACATTCACTTAACTGGGGAGAGTGGAGAAGAAGCTGGACCATGATGACTGATGTGAAAAACAAAGGCAAAATAAATCCAGAAAATATTAAACTTCCTTTTAACTTACAGCACATTGACAAATCATGGAGACAGGCAGAGTAAATTTCCTCTAAGAGCTCTGTTGCCTCCATGTTAATACTTTGCTAAGGGCAAAAGACAATCCTAGCTTAACAGTCGCCAAACCTCCATGATCCTGTAAGTCTCCTTTAACATATAAAACGTGCTTCGGAAACTACCCTCAAGATATATGTTAGCAATGGTCCTCCAAGCATATGGCCCACTGACCTACATCTGAAGGGTCTCATGACTAAGGTTTTATTAGACAGTAATAAATGACCTTTTTCTAAGAACAGCTGGCCTCTCAAAGTCCTGGAAACCTTGCTTCCAAATTCCTTAGAGACTTCTGCTATCCCTACCCACCTCCCAACTTGAAAGTGTATAATCAGTCACTCCTCACAACCCCAGTGCGGCTCTTTCTGCCCACAGGTCCTGTCTGGGTGCTTTAATAAAACCATATTTTTGGGGCGCCTGGGTGGCTCAGTTGGTTAAGCGTCTGACTTCAGCTCAGGTCATGATCTCATAGGTTGTGGGTTCGAGCCCCACTTCAGGCTCTTGCTGACAGCCAGCTCAGAACCTGGAGCCTGCTTCAGATTCTGTATCATCCCACACTCTCTCTGACCCTCCCCTGCTCACGCTGTCTCTATCTCTCTTCTCAAAAATAAATAAAACATTTAAAAAAATTTTTAAAACCCACCTTTTTGTTCTGAAGACATCTCAAGAATTCTTTCTTGATTGCTCATTCCTGAACCCCAACATTTCACATCAATAACCATTCGAAATTAGATGTAAAAACACACAACTAAACCCTTACAACTGCTTTAGGATGTGCAGACATGAGGAGGAAGCCCCGGACTTGTCTTACAACTTGAGTTTTCTTTTGAACGCATCTGAAAGACGTTAGCACCACTGGAAAGCCTTCTCATTTTAGTCTTGGGGAGCAACATGCTGTGGCTCTTCTGTCTGCAGAACCTGCATCCTCTCTGTTACCTTCTACATGTACAAAGTCTATGTCTTGATATGAAGATTTTCATTTTATTGTCTTTGGAATAAGAGAGCGCAGCTATGGGAAGATGGTAAAATTATGGCCATAATATGTCCACAGTGCACTGCATGTGGCATTTTTGTATGTAGACTAATGAATCTTGACTTACGGAAGTAATATGTGAATGGGGGGCTGACCCAGATTTCTCGAACGAATGAATAACAACGTATGCAAGAATGGCTTTCACTTTCTACTCTGTACTTTTGCTGTTTTTCTATAGTTTATTCTCCTGTGTCATTTGTGTAATTAAAACTAAATAAAAATCAGGGGCGCCTGGGTGGCTCAGTCAGAAGGTCATGCCACTCTTGATCTCAAGGTTGTCAGTTTGAGCCCCATGTTGTGTATAGAGATCACTAAGTGATTGGGGCGCCTGGGTGGCTTAGTCGGTTAAGCGTCCGACTTTCACTTAGGTCATGATCTTGCGGTTCGTGGGTTCGAGCCCCGCGTCGGGCTCTGTGCTGACAGCCAGCTCAGAGCCTGGAGCCTATTTCAGAGTCTGTGTCTCCCTCTCTCTCTGACCCTCCCTTGCTCACACTGTCTCTCTCTCTCTCCTAGAAATAAATAAAAATATTAAAAAATAAAATAAGATAAATAGATAAACTTAAAAATATAAACAAAAATCAAATCAAGAATATTTTCTTCTTTAAACAATTTTTAAATGTTTATTTATTTTTTGGGGGGAGGGGCAGAAAGAAAGGGAGACAGAGAATCTGAAACAGGGTCCAGGCTCTGAACTGTCAGCACAGAGCCCAACTCGAGACTCGAACTCATGGACGATGAGATCATGATCTGAGCCAAAGTCCTACACTTAATCGACTGAGCCACCCAGGCACCACAGTAACATTTTCTTTTTTAAAATCATAACAATAAGGGGCGCCTGGGTGGCTTAGCCGGTTAAGCGTCCGACTTTCGCTTAGGTCATGATCTCGCGGTTCGTGGGTTCGAGCCCCGCGTCGGGCTCTGTGCTGACTGCCAGCTCAGAGCCTGGAGCCTGTTTCAGTCTGTGACTCCCTCTCTCTCTGACCCTCCCCTGCTCACACTGTCTCTCTCTCTCTCCTAGAAATAAAAAAAAAACACATTTAAAAAAATAAAATCATAACAATAATATTTTTATATTGTAATTAAAACCCTGTGCACGTTTCTGATACAAAACCTTATCTAGACTGCAGACATGCTGTAATCAAAGCTATGGAGTGTAGAACAGCTAAGTTAAGTACAGTTGTTTAAACTATGAAAATTCTAAAAAGATAACAGGAAATAATTTTGATCTTAGGGATGATTATCTTTTCGCAAATTACTACTTAAGTATAATTGACATGTGTGACATTAGTTTTTGGTTGGGACAATTTTCTTAGATATGACACCAAAAACACAGTCTGTAAAAGAAAACAATGATAAATTGGACTTCATAGAAATTCAAATGTAAAAAGTGCATCATTTTTGATCCAGA